TAGAAAGCAACATCAGGTGTTCACACTGAAGCTGCACCTATCACTTGGATCTTGGATGAGTGTCTAATCTAGGATTGAATGTCCCATTTTCCAGCTCATACACAGGATCTCTCCCTTGTGAAGTTTTGCAGCTCATTACAGTCTGTTCCACACCACAATCAAAACAACAGTCCCATCTTCCTTTCAAGTACACCTCCTTACTGACCTCCTCGAAGGGCAGCATCTCAAGACAGAAATATTTATGGAAAGCAGTGCTGCTTGTTTTTATCATGATCCCAACACAGCGGCTTTTCAAAAGACTGAGTTCCCAGTTCCTTGTCCCAGGTCCAGGGTCTGAGCATTTCATTGTGTTTACCTGGTGGTAACTGATTGCTGTTTCCTTGAGTTGTACGCTTTTTGTCACAGAGCCTACATACAGACATTCAGACTTCAAGCAGCTTCTTTTCCAACAAATCACAGCACACAGACAAACCTCAGGGGCCATTTTTCTAATGGTCTCTGGTTCACTTTACTATCATTTTCCAGAACGGAGTCCTAGAGGCTTACAGAAGCAGAATTTATAAAAGACTCTGATTGTGCCTAGTTTTTCCTTATCTATTTTCCATCCCTTCTGCCAAGCTGAAGCTAAATAGGAGCTGACAAATAGGCAGCATGGACAGCCAGGGAACTTGGGCACCAGATAAACTTCAATAGCCTCAAAACTGTTGAATCGGACGAAACAGCAGCAGCAGAGCTGTAAATCTCAAGACAAATACACTAAGAACGTGTAAAAGAAACAGATATTTTCCTGTTGGCTTTGGGAGGGAAAAAAAAAAAAAAAAAAGTCAAATGAAAATCTTGACTTTGGGCCCACACATTGGGCACAACCTGTCCAAGGCCACACAATGAGCCAAGAGCAGAGCCATTGCTGCAGCCTTGGGGTCTCAGTGCCCAGTTCTCCCCTCTGAGCAATGCTCCTGCTCACTGCCAATACAGCCATATAAATAACCCTGTTCTGAAACTACCACCCCAGCATGGAGCCTAGTAAAATGTGCAGAAAACTTCAACAACACTGTTAAGCTGATCAGGAAGCAACAATTTGGATGGGCAGATGGGAGCTCAGCCACAAGCCATCAGCTGACATTGGATGGTCAGCCTTGCTTTATGTTTCAGGCTTACTGTCCTGATTCCTCTCCTGTGGTTACCCACAGTCAATCTGGATCCAGGTTTATTGGAGACTTTTTTATTTCTGTTTTTTATCTTTTTTTTTTTTTTTTCTGAGTGGAAGAGGATCCTGTATGAAACAAAATGCATTCCTGCCTGAAAGTTTGGTAAAATGACACTGGGTTCCTATTTCTTTTGGCCACCACATCCCACTGCAGAAAAGCCACATGAACAACAGTACAGAGCCAAAAAAGCACTACGGCCTTCTTTTTTTTTCTTTTTTTTTCTTTTTCTTCTGGAAATTATTTATGGATATATTGGACAAAACAGTTTATAACCGTAGTGTGGAGCAGAGACTATACAAGGCAGATAAAAGCAGCCCATTCTCAGCTAGGAAGAGGCAGCTAAGTATCCAAGCTACATATTCAGCACACCCCTCCTGTGTGCAGGATTGATGGCTAGACATGTAAGGGAGTCCCTGTCTGGCCATAGGAGGTGTCACAGACACCATGGAAATTTCAGAGCTTGAGATAACCACAAGGTCTGCTCCAGCCAGCAGCCACACTGACAAGACATTGCTATATTCATTACAGTGCAGTCCTTCCTTTCTCAGTCGTATGAAACACTGCAGCCCTGCTTAGGACATTAATCTTTGTTGATGTCAACATAAAAATGAGCAATCTATGCTAATTGCATCCTGCGTAATCCCCCTTTCTCCCTTCTACCTCCAGCTTAAGGATATTTGTAACTTTACCTGTTGATTTGTATGTGTGTCTTTTTATGTGACAAAATGCATTGGATATTTGTAGCATTTGGGACTTTTCAAAATATTTGTCAGTAGGATGTTGTGGTTTGGGTGAAGTGTTCCACAGTGACTCTAGAGACAAGAGTTTGAATTTCACTTTGGGCTACAGCTGCTGCCAAGCACTTTCAGTTTAGCTGAATGCAAATGCCTGAAGACTCAAGTTGGATGGAAAGTCAACCATATTCCTATACCCTTCCCTGTTCCTTATGTTGTAGAAGATGGAAGGCCTTGACCAGCCTACAGGAAGGAGTTAGCGTATGTATCCAATTTGGAAAAAAAAGCACTGTTGCATCTAGTTCTTAGCAAGACCAATGGCCCTTCTTGCATTTGCTAGTTGTGAAGCCCATGTTCTCAGTCCTTGAAAACTGGCCTGAGATGGGAAGGGCCTCCCTTCCCTTCCCTTCCCTTCCCTTCCCTTCCCTTCCCTTCCCTTCCCTTCCCTTCCCTTCCCTTCCCTTCCCTTCCCTGCCCTGCCCTGCCCTGCCCTGCCCTGCCCTGCCCTGCCCTGCCCTTGCCCTGCCCTCCCCTGCCCTCCCCTTCTTTTTTTTCCTTTTTCTTTTTTTTTTCTTTTCCTTTTCCTTTTTTTTTTTTCCTTTTCCTTTTTCCTTTTCCTTTTCCTTTTTCCTTTTCTTCCTTTTAAATATCTATTTTGTGCATTTTCACCCATCCTGATATCTGCCCTGGCATCTGATGCAATTACGTGTTCCAGCCTGCAAGGGACAAAGATAGAGTCAGTGTCATGTGTTGTCAGTGCATCTGTCACATAACTCCTCCCAGACCACAGCCCTCCTGTGTCCTAAACTTGAGACAACAAACTGCTGCCAGGTCAGGTTGGCCTGACAGTTTCCATTAGTTTGGCTCATAAAAGTGAAGGACGGTTTTCATCACAGAAAAAAAATCAGAAAATCTGGACATGAAAGGCTTCTCCCCATTTGCACCACTGCAGGGGAGCTTATTTAGGGATGCTGCTCTGTTTTACATGCTGTCCTGAGTATCTTCTCTGTTTTCACTTTTGCTGTTTCCTGAGTCTCCTGATGACACAGCAAGTCCTCTAGGGCAATTTATTGTATTTTTGTCAACTGAGAAATTCAGGAAGATTTTAGTGATTAAGAGAATCCACCTTTTTGGTAAAAAATCTTGTCTGCATACCTTTGCCAGATTTCCAGATAAATATTCCTCCTGGCTCTATGGTATGAAGGGTGGGATGGTGAAGGTTCAGAAGTATATAGGTAAATGATGTATTTTATTTATCCACTGTTTCTTTTTACAACAAATTCTGGAGAGGCTACATCAGTCTTGCTCTTATTACAGAACATGGTCTAGCAGTAAAGGTGAGGTGTGGGGTCCTGGGGATGGGGGAATTCTGAAAGGGGTCACACATCTCTCAGGCAAGATTGTGGTATAACTGATATTGCATTGGACCAAGGGCTTTTGAAGCCCCTCTCAAATCTGCACTGACAGTATTGTTATGTGTTCAGAACTGGCTTTAAGTCTCCACTATAGTAGATACCACCACAAACCCAGTGTTCACTACTTATGGGGATGCAACTTCTGAGTCTTCTTACTTCTAAGCTACAAACCTGATAAAATAACAGATGGGTCATTTTATCCAATATTTCTTTCTGCAATCTGCAGCCTAGATAGACCTCATAAGAAAGAATTTTGTCTCTGATAGGTGTTTTCTTAACCAAATTCAAGAAGAATTGGATCAAACCCATGTCCTGTTCCTTCCTCTTTTTCCCTCAGGATTCACCCCACAAACCAATACATCACCACTAAAAAATTGCCCCTTCCCTTACTGATTTGTTAACCTACCATTCCATCAGTTCTTTTAGCATTATCTTCTTTTCATATTTATTTAGTTCATGAGAATGATGGCCCAAACCTCTTTATTTACCATCCTAATGATTTTCTAATTGTTCCTTGTGCTTTCCTCTGAGTTTTGTATAAAATATTTTCCTTGATTTATTTTTCCTGTTGATAACCTTATCTTTTAATCTATGCTTTGAGACAGCTGAAATATGAGTAAAGTTATTCCAAATAAAAGATTTACAGGGGAAAACAAAAACAAAATTTTGCAGTCCAACAAAACAGTCAAATGTAAAATTGTACAGGTTATGCAAACACAATCTATCAAGGATGTAAACAGTTTTCTGTGGCAATTACAATATTTTTATTCTGCAAAATTGTTTAGAAAGATAGAATTGCTATTTTTAGTAGTAGCAGTAATAATTTTTATTTATGCAGATTTTTCAATCTGGTTAATTACTTTGTTTTCTCCAGCTCTCTCTGGCAGTGACCCATCAAATTGCTTATTTCAGTGATGTCTTTCAGTGTTCTCCCAGCCTAAAAGGAGCTTGTGACTCACCTGTCCCATTTTCTGAAGTGTTGAAACTCATTAACAATTTATGAACAGGTCTCACCAGCAGATATTATGGCTCAACAGGAAAATATTTGGAGAGATTGTCACTGGGAATGTTCACTGACTGGATGAAATGTAGAAGCAGCAAGACGCAGGAAGCTGAAATGTTTTCTAGAAAAAAGGTCACTTTAAATAAAGAATTTAGGCCAGAGAGAGATCAAATTCAATTTTGGTATAATAGCCCCAAAGAAATTTCACTCAGTCATCTAAAAATTAAGTATCAATTCCAGAAAATTTATTTCAGAATACTCCAGTAATAATTATATAGAGATGGATAATGCGAGTTGGTGATGTATTCCATCAGTCTGAGATGACCATCTGAAGATGTGGGCAGCTGTCTCCGTGAAATATTTGTCTCTTTCTCCATAAGTTGGGTGATCTGGGAAGCAGCATAAAGCCCTCATTCTTTGCCAGCTGTAAGGTTGGATATCTGACTCTAATGCATGCGGAAAGTAAAAGGTTTCTCAGCTTTAGAAATTTCTTGACACCTAAAAATCCACATCTAATTTTGAAATAGAGTCGAGGTACAGTTGAAAGTTCAGACAACTTTCTCCAGAATAAAACCAAGCTTGAGAGCCCAGTTCATACAAACTCTCATTGAAAATTATGCATTAGCCTCTTGATACCTTACAGCAATGTACATTTTCAGCTGGGAACAGTACTTTAATGTTAGTGCTATGGGAATTAATGGCTAAATTACTTTAGTCCCTGTGGGGTTTAAAATTAGTTGATTCAAAATGGATTTTTTCAAGTGTATTTTCCCTCGTGCTTTAAATACTCTGGACTCTCATAGTCTGTGACCCATAAGTCTCACATTAAACTGCTTGTATGGAACAGTTGCTCTTTTAATAATTACAGCACAGTTGACATCATCTTTGGGAAATGCCCTGGTAGTGTTTGGGATAGTTAAATCCATCATCACCATTCTTCAGTTAACTCACAGAGCTGTAGCTCTGGCAGTTGGAATCAAACCAAAAGGAAGTGAGGGGAGGGCTGTGCAGATGTCTCATTAGTAGACTTGCTCATCTACGTGCAAGCACAAGGGATGCTAGCTGAGCTCCATTCTGCTTGTACTAAAGCAGAAAGCTGATGTTTCCTCGTGTCAGCTTTGTCACTGTGGGAGGTTTCTCAGAGACAGTCGTTCACAAACCCTGCTCTCTTTTTCCCATTAGTGCTGGCTGCTAACAAGGGAAGTGGTGGAAAGATGAATCTGGCCACAGGAAGACCGACCTTTAGTAGTGACTATAAAAACAGTTGGCAATTAGGGCAGCTGGGGATGTTCATCCCATAGTTATCTACATCTAGATGCAATAAACCCACTCATTGTGTTTCTTCTTGTCTTCCATTACTATATGCTTATAATTCAACATGCTCTTTTGGGTAAAAACCTGATGGTTCCTGTAGGAAAAAAAATAAAACTTATTATTAATTCAGCACTGAAAACCCGAGGGCTACAGGTAGTATTAGTTCTATCTGCTTGGGGTGGGGTGAGGAAATAAATATATTCCACTCAGAAGAGGGACAACAAAGTATTCACGCATGTTTTCTACTAGAGAACAAACAATATCTGACCACCCAGAGACCTAGAAAGCAGTAAAATCATGTATTTATTCCTATGCTACATTTGTGATGTTGTCTTTGGGTCTCAAGAGACTCAACACCCCTGTTCTGTCTTCTGAGAGTCCTATATCTTGCCCTCAAGGAGAAGGCCAAGCATCTCAGTCTAAACATAGCATTTCCATTGATCATACGTAGCCTTTAAATCATACAGTCATCAAAACTAAGCACCATTACTTTTCTGGTTGATGAGTATGACTTCAAGAAGCAAAAAGCTGTTCTACACATTTTCTAGGTGTAAATGGTCTCTGGTGCAATTCTAATAGCTCTGTGCTACTTAGTTTGGGGGAAATATTTATTCCTAATTACAGCTGTTCTACAATTTTCCAGTTTTAAATGGGAGGTTGCTCCTTATTCTAGGACTTCATTGACATTGAGACAATTTCCTGATTCAATCTGCTTCGCAGTACATGGAAATATTTGTTTATTCAACCCTTTTTCACTTGATTGCATTATGGTTGTGGTCCATACGGTTACACACCTTTAATATTATCTGCAATATATATTTATTCTCCACACTTTTTTTTTTTTCCAGCATGTAAGTCATAAAGTGAGATGCAACAGCCCAAATGTCATTAAAAGTCTACAAAAAATTACACTGAAAACAATTTTTTTAAGTTGCAAACATTGGATTCAGCTCAGCTTTGGGAAATTTGGGAAATTTGGGAAATGATGGGTCATTACACAAATCCAACTCAAATGTGATTTTGGTTAGTCATCTATTTCCTACATTACAGACACTACAATTTACTTCCTTATGGATTGGATTTATAGCTTGACTCATGAAGAATATTTGGGCTGCTGAATCTAGGTCTATAGACGCTTTTTAGGATAAAAACAAGCAAGATTCATCTTTATATAAAACGAAAATCTTGTTTTGTAGCCATACCCAGCTGCCAGTGCAAAATGACGCAATATTATGTGAATAAACCATTTTCACATTGTTTTTGTGTCATCTTTGCAAACACTTTGTGGCATACCAGATAAACGACAGACATATATACTTAATCAGCTGAATGATTCCACTCCACAAATGAATCCACTCTCCTAACTGCTATTCTATCCTTCTACTTTATTTTAAATATGTATACATATATATATATATATATATATATATTTCACTTTTTCATTATATACATAATAAAACTATAATTTTCTTGATGTCTCCAGACCAGGGACAAAATTTTTAAGTAAAAAGAACAAAATAAAATATAACCCAAAGAAGAAATATTAGAAGATATTTCAACGTTGTTTCAAGGTAATAAACGTTGGATGCAAATTCATTCTATAGACGTAGTTAGTTGCAAACAGCAATTAGAAAAACAATTAGAAAAAAGGCAATAGCTTTCTTTCATTGATTTCTAAATAATACAACATTAGTTTTGGGTCACTGTCACTAGAAAACATAGCCAAACAGCACTCTGTGATGAACACATTCTGCCTAACAGCAGCTAAGCTGGGGGGATGCAACACTGGAAAATGGTGGTAATTATGACAGTTTTCATGGTGCCCACAAGCATATCCATGATGATGCAGCCTCAGTGCATAGTGTTGTATAAATAAACACTAAAAAAGGCCTGAGCTCTGCAAAGGCACAGTATAAATGAAGGGGGAAAGGAAAAGGCAGGAACCAAGGTCAAACAATGAAATGGTGGGAGAAAGAAAAAATGGAGCTCACATGACTGAAATCCCAAATCACTGATGTATCCATTCACCTCAATTGATTTTCCTTCTGGTTTTGGGTTTAGAAATTAAAATTGTCTTGACTATTTACCCTGCTCCTGAGCCATCTCCTCACCAGCCTTTTCCTTCTTCCTTGAACCATTCTCTTTCTCCTTTGTCATTCAACCACCTTCCTCTTCAAGTCCCTCGAGAAAGCTGCCTGAAGAGTAATGGAAAACCAAGACTTTGTAAACCATTCTCCTGCAAATGGATTTAATCCAGACTCTCAGTGACACCCCAAAGTATATTTTGGGTGTAATTATAATTGATGCACTCCACAGAGAGCTCATTTATCCTGAAACAAATATGGAAGACATGTTAAGTGAGATGTTTTCTATTTTTTTTTTCTTCTTTTTCTTTCACCTAACACCACAGCATCAGGACACAAAGCTGCAGTTCCACTGAAAATAATGAAGTGAGAGGTTCCATAAAGTTATTTCCAGCTGATGGACTGAATGCTACATAAATATACAGGAGACTCTCAGAGGAAACCACCAGGTCACTCAGGATTGCATCAGTTTCAGTCCAGCAGTGAATGTAAGATCCATACCTCTCTTGTAAGGGGAGAAATCTGCATACAAGAAGATACACAGATATTAAGCTTCCCTCCCTCTCCCCCTGCTTGCTACCAGGATATCACCTACTGTTCAGTTCAAGGAAGTGTCAGCTGAGGTAATTATTTCAATCCACGAGGATTCAGCCTCAGGGTCAGATAATAGCAAGTGTCGAGCAAGAAATTCTTATGAACTTGCCTAAGTTGATTTTTCAAGGAGATCAAAAGCAGGAATGCCAGCAAAGCTATTGTGGAAAATGGACAGATTCAGGACATTTTGCACCAGACTGAGAAAGGTCAGCCTTTCTGGCAGACAGCAAGGCTGGTGCTCTGAGTCAACTCAAACAGAACCACTTCTTCCTCAGGCTTCCCACTGACAAATTCAGTTTGAGTTTGAGTTTGGCTCTGGATGAGGATACTGTCTCAGGAAAAACAAGACCTAGCTATTCCCTTTTGAACTAAACCTGAACCCAAATTGGACTTGTATTTGAATCTGGAGAACGTTGAATTTCTTTTTCTTTTACTTTCCTTTTTCTCTTTATTTTCTTTCTCTCTTTTTCCTCTTCCTTTCCTTTTTCCTGGCAAAATGAAGCTGTATCTCTCTCAGTCACAGGTTTTCAAGGTTCGGAAAACTTTCTGTAGACTTGGTAGTAAGAACAACACGAGATCAGGGTTTCGGGTTCTAAATCCAACTGATCTCCCTCTAATATTTTGGAATCTCATTGAGTTGTATTTGAACAAACAGTGATTCTTATTTCTATTTTGAAAACTCCTCACCATTTTATTTGCTGCAAGGAAATAACCTGTGCATCAAAGTCAACAAGGACTCATGGTCCTGTAGTAACAGAGTTATTTAAATTATGCCACAACTACATCTCAGCCATCAGAGTTTAAGCAGCTGTTGCTCTGTCGTTCCTGATAGACTTCTCCTCTACCACCACTGCTGCAGCAGATGTTCTCCTGAAGGGCAATGTTCTTTCTCCAGTTCCATCTGCTCCCTCCAGTTGTTTTTTCCACTAAGAACAAATTAAATTAAAAGTGTCTCTGATAGAACATAATGGTTTAGATGTCAGAGAATGCCTTACGTGTGACCTCAGCCCTTGCTTTCTATGCTGCACACTGTGATTAATCCCTCTGCTGCAGAAATATTTCTAAACTGAAATCTTGACTCCTCTGAAATCAATATTGGCACCAGTGGCATTTGCTGAAGTAAAACGTTCTGTATTAATTTCTCAAGTATCAAGTTAAAGAAGATTTTAATCTCAACAATATATCAGTTTGGAAGCCTGAGACAGTGTCTTACTGTGGTTGGAGTGGCAAACTGAGCAACAAAGCTTCTCCTTGGTTACAGATAATGGAAGATGTTGCAGAACAGATATCCTTCTGCCTTTTTCATTCTATGTCATGGGATACCTAGAATTTCCAGGTATCTTTCAAGAAGAGCTAGTTAAGCTATGTCTGTTTGGAGGGACGTACAGGTGAATCCTCCTTAGCTGAAGCTACACCTTCAGCAGAGATACACGACATCTGAAGCATATTTGGATATGCCAGCTCAGACTATTGCCTTTCATAATCTGGCAAAGCTCCACTGAAGTTGTCAGAGTTCTCCTGCATTTGCCTTATCCAAAGATTTGGCCCAGAATGCTTAGTTTTTCCTTCTTTCAATGTAACTGTGTTATGCCTCATGGAAAAGGTGAACAGTGGTTTCTGGCCAGAACATAGTAACGTTTTAGAGTTTATCGTATGAAAATACATGAATGATACCCAGATGAAGGGATTATATGTCTAAGTCTCTCTCTCTCTTTCTTTATATATGTAGATAAATATAATCACACTCTCTGTTCTCTGCCTGGGCTGTTTTGGAAAGGGGACAGCAGTGAAGTTATTAAGAATCTCCACTCTTGTTAAAAAACTTCCTTAGTACAGCAAAACAGACTATTGTTGAACTAGGAAAAGATACTCCATAAATCTCCCAAAGTCAAACACCATGACAGGAATATGGAGAAATAGATCTATATATTAAGTACTCTTTTAACAGCATCATTTGACCCTTAGAAAAAACAAACAGAGGAAAGAAAACCTTACAAGCCTGGAAAAAATATTCTCTGACTCTTATCAAAAGCACATTTGAAAGGAGACCTTGGAGGCATCTATTGTTTAATGGGCTATGCTTGATTTATTGTTGATTATGTCACAAAAAAAAAAAGAGAAGAAATATGTATATAATCATTCCAAAGCCATGAGAGGTACAGGGCTTCAATCTATTAGACATTGGAATCAGGGAATATCTTTTTTTTTCCTCCTTCATTCAAAGAGCTCTGTTTGACGAGGAGTGCGAAACAGTTTGATGGGTAAGTCCCTCAGTGCTGAGATATACCTCACTTGTTTTCTGTAAGTAACTGGCCACACGAGAACAGGCCTGCAGTTTTAGTTTACACAGCTGTATGCTGGAACGCAGAGTTCACTGCATTTGTTTCAGGCTTCTTTTAGCAGCAGCAACGAAATGCTGTCCCTCCTTGCCCTCTGCTGCTGGCTCTCCTGCTGCATGCACATGCACACATGTCGTGCACATGCAGGCACACACAAATCTGCAGCTACGATTGCTCTATAGACTTCAGAGCTGCCTTTTTTGTGTGTACGGAACAAAGAATTTGAGGCAGCAGTGGAGTTGATGGGACTATTGACAGCAGATGAACAGCTGTGAGGTAACAGTCACATTTAGAATCATAGAATCATAGAATCACAAGGTTGGAAACGACCTATAAGTCCTACCGTCTTCACACTACCACTGCTACCACAAGCTACTAAACCAGATCTCGCAGCTCCTCGTCCAGGAGCCTCTTGAACACTGCCAGAGATGGCGACTCCACCACCTCCCTTGGCAGGCCATTCCAGTGCCTGACCACTCTCTGAGAGAAGAAGTTCTTCCTTAAGTCCAACCTAAACCTCTTCTGGTACAACTTGCAGCCATTTCCCCCTGTTCATTGCCTGGGAGAAGAGGCCAAACCCCTCCTCACCACAATCTCCCTTCAGGAAGTTGTAGAGTGCAATGAGGTCTCCCCTGAGCCTCCTCTTCTCCAGACTAAACAATCCCAGCTCCCTCAGCCGCTCCTCATAAGATCTGTGCTCCAGACCCCTCACCAGTTTCGTTGCCCTTCTCTGGACACGCTCCAGGGCCTCAATGTCTTTTTTGTAGTGAGGGGCCCAAAACTGAACACAGTACTCGAGGTGTGGCCTCACCAGAGCTGTGTACAGGGGGATGATCACCTCCCTGCTCCTGCTGGCCACACCATTTCTAATGCAGGCCAGGATGGCGCTGGCCTTTTTGGCCACCTGGGCACACTGCCGGCTCATGTTCAGCCAAGCATCAACCAAGGTCCCTTTCCTCTTCACAATCATCCAGCCACTCGTCCCCAAGCCTATAGCGCTGCATGGGGTTGTTGTGGCCAAAATGCAGGACCCGGCACTTGGCCTTGTTGAACCTCAAACATACCAACTTATCATTGGTATGAGCTGGACTAGTCAAGGGATTGAACTGCCATGCTTCTCAAAATACTGTTTTGGTGCAGATGTTTCAACTCATCTCTTTTCAAAAATTTCAGGGGCCTATGTTTTCCATTTCTCTTTTAAACCCACTCAAAAAGAAAAATGATTATAGAGTAGAATAGAATAATTTAAAAATGCATCCATTTAAACTTGAAGATACATCAAAAAAATAAAAAAGCTAAATTTTATGGCTGATGACACTTGAGTGAGACATCTATATCTCAGTCTGAATCAAAAAGACCAGAAAACAACAAGGCACCAGGGAACTCAGGAGGGAAGACAGCTGGACATGAAGTTCAGATTTTGATATTACCATGCCTGGAAGAAAGTTTGGAATGTCTTCATAGCTGAAAATCATTGATCACAAGTCTCCTTCTGTATAGGTGGAGGATGACCTAAAAAAGACATGTAGATCTCCATGTGCATTGAAAATCATCAGATAATATGTGACAAAAAACGAAAGACATAGAGCATTACAGAATGAAGAGCACCTAGTATTAGAAAATGCTGTTATTAGAAATTTAATCATGGAATACTTCATATACTTTTAGAAACTACCTATTTAACTTATTTTTATATTCTGAATTGTCTTTCTCTCAGGAGAAACTAAAAGGAGCGTTTTGCTTGAGATACACATTCAGAAGTGCAAGGTCATATACCACAAAGTGCTTCAATGGACTGGCTGTTAAATTTACCTCTGAAACTTCTGAATAGGAGAAGCATATCTCCCTGCTATTTCAGCTAAGGTTAATCAATAATTTAATTATAGACATCTAAGGGCTGACTGGTCTCATGTAGAACATTCCTACACGCATGTCATTGGAGAAAGACAGGCACCACAAGAAGTGATACACCTTGCTCCTTGGTTGTACAAACTTTTCTGTTAACCCTCTTGAGGGAATAAAATTAAATAGGCATTCTGGAAAATGGCTTTCACAGTATTCATAATATTCAGAAATTAAACTCAACTACTACGCACACGTATTCCTTCAGGTAAGACATATGCCCAGAACTTGAGACATTCAATAAAATGAGAATGATGAGTGTTTCATTTATCAGTCTTGCCTCTTTACTGGCCTCCGGTGGCATCCTATCTCATGTGTACATGGAAGGTCTTTTACAATGTGGCACTGCTCTTTGCCAGGCCCCTAAACAACCCGGTCAGCAGACGACAATAATAGAAGCTGGACCTCTGCCAAACACAATAATGGTATTTCCTGGGGTATTCACAGAGTTTCCAGTTCTGCAGACAGGGTGTAGCGTGGTAAACCTAAACATCATGGTATTTAAATATCCAGCTACAAACATTCACAAGTGACTCACGGTCCTGGTTGCTTCCTATTTTGCTATGGTGATCCAAAATACTTCTACCTAATGAGGCCTTCTTGTCAGCAAATAGGAAATACTTCTTTTCTGAGAATCAAGACTTTTATCATTTCATCATTTATAGATACTGAAAACAGAGAAATCAAGAATATATGATTACTGAAAAAGCTGAGAGTAGTTTTACAGATAGGATAGTTTAGTCTTAGAGCTCTGACAGTTTGGGACTGGACACCTCTGAAAGTGTCAGCCCTTGGAAATAAACAGATCTATGGCCAGCTGGTGCTTGTTTTACTATGTAAAGACCAGCAAAAATTACCCCAGTGTCTAAGGAAAACATGAGCTGAGTAGCCTTTCTTCCAGCAAAGGTGCTGATAGAGAATCCTAAAAGTCTATTTTTTGATGATCTTAAATAGCTACTGTGCTAGAAGTCTCTAGTTGTATCATTTTGAAGCGAAAATAACAGAGAGGTTCAGAGATTGCTCATGCTGGATGGGGCTCTGTGCAACTGATGGAGCTGTATATGTCCCTGTTCATTGCAGGGGTGTTGGACCAGATTGCCTTTCCAATACAAATAATTCTAAGGATCTATGAAAGTACTAGGAGAAAGGCTGACAGATTTTCAGTGTCAGTTCATGTCTTGTTTATACGTGAAAGCAAAATATGCAGTAATCCTGAGGGTGTTTGCCTACTGTGGCAAACCAAGCCAGTAGTATCATGTGGGATACTCAAAGCAGAGCTGTGCTCTGATTAAATAAATACACAAGCACTGAACATCAAGGAAAATATTAGTAGGTGATCTTAAGAGATTTTCTTTGGTGCTTTGTCTCACAGCAGCTACGCTGCCACCACCTAGAAACTGCAAACTTTTTCCTGTTTTGTTTTTGTGACAGTTTGATGAAGAATCACAGACATGACTCTCTTCTAACATTTATTCTGTCCCATAGCTAATGAGGCCTGATACCACTCTCTGCTCTCCTGTAAATACATGTACAACACACATCTGGGTCCTGCAGGAGCAATTCCCTTCCTTCTGACTATCACCACACTCACAGCAAATCAAGGTGATTTGCATTGGTGATGTTGTCTGAGAAGTCTCTCAGAAACCTGTTCTCAGCATTAATGATGAAGAGATGTGATATTTTTGTACGGTAGGCTGTATTTGTCATATAATACCATCTGGCATATAATCATATCACTGTATTGTAGAAAGGGTGCTGAAAGAAAAAAAAAAAGAATAGAGCCAAGAAAGGAAATGAAGATATTTTCTCACGTCCTTGCATTTCAGGAGAATAAGGAAACCTGTTTTAGACAAGAAAGGGTGGAAGACCTGTTGGAATAGGAAGTCAACAGGAACCGTAGTGGAAAAGACTGATCAAAGACACACCAAGGCTCTTATTTTATCTCTGAGAGTTGTTTCAGTGAGCTGAAATAGCAGAGTGAAAGTAGTTTTCAAGGAGGAAGGATATTTTGGGATTTAACACACTTAACTTTGGGTAGAAAGGATTGAGTTCTCTTCTGAATCTCTGGGGGTGATTCTGTTCATCTACTTTCCAGGACTGCCCAGATCTATAGGTGCCCACATATGCTAGCCGTGTCCCTGCTTTTGCTGGAAGCACTTCTCCTAAGCAAGGGACAGGTATCTCTCCTGATACATTTGCCTACAATGGCCAGCAGGAAATTTCTGTTTTTATTTCACAGTGATCACAAGTCAACAGAGCTCTGACATTTGACTCTGTAATGATTTCAACTGTCAAATCAATGTAGTGTTCCCATTTTGACCTTATTCATCTATCTTAAATTGCCCCTATTGTTTTCATGTCCAGTATTCAGAGCCTTTGTTTCACAGCAAAGGGAGCTTTTCTGCCTATGCTTCCTTGCAAAGCACCATTCCACCAGCATCTCGTACTTCATTTTAAGTGCAAAGCTCTGTCAAGGACAGGGATGTAAAAATAATAGCAATGCTAAAGAAGTCTGTAACATTTGGAGCCAAAATCCTGATGTGGTTTTGCTTTAAATCAAACTTCTGAGAGGCTGCTGAAGCTCAAGTTGTACTATTAAACAAGATGTGTCAACCCACCCTGCCTAATTTTCCCACTACAGATAAAAAGATGCAAAACAGCCCAACTGATAAATAACACCTTATGTGAAGTCTTGGAAAAGGCTGTATTGATTGTGTGCATAGGAGAGAAAGAATAAACGCCCTTCAGATTTCTGAGAAAGTAATTTCAGAAAAGGTTCAAACATTACAGTTATTTAGATAGTGACCACCTTTGGTTTTCTTTCAGACATTGTCTAGATTTGACAAAACCATATTCCCATGAAGATTTTTACCATGCATAAAGAGAAAAAATGTCTGTTCTGCTTTTTTTTTTTCATCCTTATTCGTAGGAAAGATAACACATTTCTCTATTTTCAGTGCTTTTTGCAAATCTGTAAGAAGTGAAAATGAGCAACAGTTGTATTTTAATGAGGAAGAATGTAATGTCCCTTAAAGCCTTCTTTTAGTTCCTATCCTTTGATATTTCTGTCCTTCTTTATTTAACAAAAAAACACACAAACTCAGTTTTGATACCTGATCTTTCTCTGTAATACTTTGTGCATCTTTTGATTATTTTCAATTCAATAATGCAATAGAGATTTCAAGGATTTTTAGTATCTTGCATTCAACCAAAGAAAACAAGACAGTAGCACATTCTCATCCATGGTGTTTGCCACCAGAAATTCTACAAGGAATAAAGACTATCACACCAACTTCCCTCAACACTTGCAGTTCACTTGATATTGAACAATCCAGGAATGAGACCTGCTGCCTAAGAAAGTGGATGTTGGCCCGTTGTTTTTCACTGTCCTAATGTTCCCCAAGTGG